ATGTAGGTGCCGTGGTGTTATGAACCTTTTAAACGAATACATGTCTCAAGGTTGATACTACCCCACAATGTAAACATTGATATACACGCCCATAATCTACCTATTCTATAGATGCATGCATAAATTAGGTTTCGCCATTTTCTTGAAAAGGTCTAATCTGATTAAAATTAAAACCATGTGAACATAAAATATCAGAATAGAGCTCATTATTTTACAGGCAAATCCGTGAAATTAAAACCCGGTTGAAAAAACTCAAGCCATCAAAATAGTGAAATTAAATGCCACTGAAAACAAATGCTATTACAGCATACATGCATTGTGCGCCAATATATTAACTGTGTATTGCCACACTGTATAAGGATTGATCTTTGAGACCTTGTTAAAGGAATAACAGCAAATGCCATTCGTTTGTTGACGTTTTTATCCCTCAGTAATCAGCTCAAGGTAATTCTAAGAGGGAACCTGTAAGATTATTTGCGTCAAATCGTAGATTGTCAGTCCAATTATACTCTAACCAACTCACCCACACACGTCCTTCAGTACACTGATATAGTAATGGCGGTCGTGTTCGGGTAATTTGAAAGACGTTTTTTCCCAATAGAATAGAATAGAGTCATTGATATTTTACTGCGTATGTGGTCTTTCGGTGCCTTGGTATATTTACCTCTGCCGTGGATATACCAGGATCTCACAGTTGGGTCAATACAATAGAAACGAAGCGCCTTATGATGCATTTATTTCACAATGTCTCTAAAAGTCGAGAATATAAATAGGTCTACTAATAAGGGGACACCATTATATTGTATATGTTGTTACTAGGCTGTATGATACGTTAGATCAGTAATAGTACACGTCACGTAATGGTAATTTTCTTTTCATTCCATGAGAGTAGCGTCATGTAGCCTTGGTACACTAAAGATCCTCTTCTTTGTCAGTCTAGAAGGATATTTGTCGTCTATTAACATTCATGTCTGAGCGAACCCAGTCTAAGTGTGTATATGTATCTATTAACGTGATTACAAAAACCGTGACTATATGAACACTACAAGAGCTATGCCACGCTGTTTCAAAATGCGTTTTTTTTTTCTTTGAGATATCCTCGGGCGTTTATTCTGGTCTTCAGGGCATTTCTCGTCTTTAGCGACTGCCAGGTATTATACATTGAATGAATAGGCTTTATGCTTTGTACATCCATACTGGTTCAGCCAAATGGTTAAAGCTTCTAAACAAATTGGGGGTATTTATTTAATAACCACTAACCCAATCCAACATATTGCTATTCAATAACAACATATTATCTAATTGCTTAGTTAGTAAGGTCTACGAATTTATATTAACCAGTATTTTACTGTGCAACAAGCCAACTTTACAGCAAATCGATATAAGCATCATGGAAAAAATGCACTGTTCTTTTGAACGCTACTAATTGGTGATTTTCGTATTCAGATTCCTTCCTTCCGAGGAAATCCGGATATCTATCCACGCGTACATGTCTAGTTATTTCGACGGATCTCTTGGAAAGACGTCTGAACAAACTCACCGCAAAAATCCACATCTTGATCCGGGAATCATTAAACATCCCATAATACTCACACCAGGTAAGTGACCAAGAGAGCATAATAATGTGAGTCTTGTCACACGTTCATATAATTGAAACCTCTGAGATTTAAGAAAATATGTTCTCCCGTAAACTGTGATAAGCGCACCAATTATTTACAAAAGTCACATACTTTATTTAAACGTGCTGATATATAGTAATGGTAGCAAATGTACTGTTATTATTTCGCACTGCCTTAAAATCGAGTTATTGTCATCGTGCGAGAGGAGTATTTTTTTTATTTTGTCGTAAGTAAGCATGCACACTAAGTCTACGTCCGGTATATTATAAATCATGCTTAAGATCCAGTAACACTCGCCAGCAGCTTTCTAAGCTAAATTACCGTCTCGTTTCCACAGCAGCCAGTGGTGATGATGCTCTAACGAGAAAAATTATCTATAATCAACGTCGACTGATGGAACTGCCATGGGCATTAATTAATTGCGGAGATTGGCAGTCACTGGAAGAGACTTTATGTGATTTCAAATTCATACAGGTACACATGCAATTCAATTTCAAATACTCTGTATGACACACGTTTATTATATAAATAGTGATGCAAATGGAATTATATGTGTTTTCAAGAAATGTGGCCCAGCGGCAAAAGCACTTTATTTCGCTAAAGATGCCATTTACGGGGTTACGTCAGTGAATTTTAGGCTTGTTCGAAGTATATCCATTGTGCGCACGGTCACCTGTCACGGTCAAGGTCAATAAACAAATGGACCAATATAATGCACGTGACCTTTCTCAGGATTTCGCTTTGTTTCAAACTAAAAGTTTACCTGTCATGCAGTGGTTTGATAGATAGATATTTGGATGACGATTTTTATTATTAATGCACAAAAGGCCTCGAACGAGGTTGCAGAATGTATGACGTACTAGCACACACATAATGATGCTGCAACCGACAAGTCGTTTACTACGTTGGCAAATGCAACTGGTGACGATTTGTTTTGAATAATCGAAGACAGTGGCGTATTCAGGGACATGTTATTTACTTAGACCAATCGTGTGTGATTGATATCTGCAGGCCATGTGTGCTACAGGACAAGTTGATGTACTGAAGACATGGTTAGAAAAAGCATCTAATATGGCTATAGACTATGACTATGACCCGAGCACTCTACTAGAGTTTAAGTATTTGATTTCTAGAGGTATGTACATGTACTTGCAAAATGACAATCGATGTACTTTATATGAACGTGTCTATATTATCGACAGTGGTCATATATTTGACATCATACATTAGGTGTTTCACAGTGTGTGACTTTTGCGATAACATGATTTCTTGATATTCGGTAGTTCGTGTTCTAACGCTATTAACATTGATGGTTTAAATGAGCGCCATAATAAATTACATAATTTATACATTGTCATATTTTAACAATTCTCCTGTCGTCACAGAATTTTTAACAAATGGAGTTTACATATATTAGTCATATTATTTGTCCATATTAAATTATAATGATTATTTTAATTTTAAAGTTTTTTTAAAGTTGCTGATAATTATATTATATATAAAATTTATAAAAATTGTATTCTGAAGATTGTTTACATTACATTAGCGTTTTTGAATACAACCAGGAAAACAAAGATAAACCTTATTTAATGCCCCAAACCATCCAACGTGTAGTAGGAATAATTCTGAGATACGTTTATTAAGTTCTTTACCATTCATCCCATCTTGCTTAAAGCACTAGTTAAGGATTATCATGTATTTTAATTAGAAAAAAACACCCTCTCTTCCCAACCTTTTATTGTGATATACGTAGGATTCGAACCAAGAAAATACAAATAGGAACGCCTCTAGTATTTATGACAATTACCCCCCCCCCGTCAATTATACCAGTCTGTAGAGTGGTTTTTGTAGAACCTAAAAAGTCGAAATATGTAATTAAAATAACCTCTCATAACTTTTCATAACATATTACTTATTTTTTTAATTTGTTTTAATTATTTATTTTTATCATACACGAAATAATATAACATATATAAAATAAAATATACTGAAATTATTAATAGCTTTATTGGGATATGTAAATTTTTATGTGTAATATTTAATGCATGAATATATATTCTGAAATTAATCATAGCTTTATCGAAATATAGGAATTATTATGTGTAATATTTAATGCATGAATATATAAACTGAAATTATTTATAGCTTCATTGAGATATGAGAAATTGTATCTCGCAACCAAATCTTGATAATGGCATGTAATATAATAATATAATGCCACAGAAATAAGTACATGTTAGTAAGTAATGGCATGTACTGAAAATAGTTAGTTCTGGTATGATCATGGGTAACCGGAAGAAGAATTGGACATTCGCCAAACCATCTAACTTTAAATCTTGAAATGTTGACACGTTTGTTTCTGGTTTAGAAAATGGGAGCTTTAATTGTCTGAATAGGCAGATAAATCGGGGGGGGCATGAAACCATGGTTCCATGGAAGAACAAACATCTGAGGATAGCTTAAATATGCAACAGTCACAATGGCTGGTAAAGTAGGACTGAATATAACATATTCATATATATAACAATATATATAAAGTATAACAATTGCTGATTTTTGAGAGGATAATAATTTGCAAAAACTTGCATATATTTTGAATGCGTTAAATCTATGGACTGCGTGTAAGAATGCACATCCCTAAGCTTCCCCGCCACCAAATGGTGTCAGCTCAGTGTTTTGTCTAGTTCAAATTATAAAATCCTATTTTAATAGCTTTTTACGCAATCCGAAATACTACACAATGTAGCGGACGACTCAGTTTAGATGTCAGAGAACACAAAAAACATCTCAAAAGTGAACATTTATGCGATATCGCGCGACTGAAAATATCAGTCAAAAAAAAGCTTGTCTTTTTTAATAAACATTTTTAGAAATAATATTTTATTAAATAGTAGGCAAATATCGATAGCTAGTCAGGATAAACCTGCATTCTCTTGCGACATGAATTATTTATATCCCCCATGTGTTTGATACTCGTATAATCCAATGCTCTAATACACCTTAAATCTGTCTTGTTCCCTCTGCGTAGTTTGCCTATGTTTAATTCAAAATACCATGCTCCCCCGTCAGGGAGCTTTAACGCGCATGTTACTGGTTTTAAAAACACGAATGATCATAGATTTTAAGCTGTCTACATGGCAGTAAATACATTTTTCAACACGGTTTCTTCTCGTGAAATCGGCGAGGCAATATAGATACACGACAAATCATCTTGTTTTAATAGTTCGACGTGGCGTATCGAAACTCAAACTGGAGTATATTTGCTCATAAACTAAAGACATTTTTCGGTCGCTCATGAATAATTGACTACAAAAATAACAGTGACATTGGTACGTCGTAATAAATGTATTTATTTATTTATTTATTTGGAATCCTGACAGCGCGGCTATTACATATTTGCAATAGTCCTTAGACGCAAATAGTCGCTGAGATCTTATTCTAGGCGACGGTACAAATATCAAGGAATCATTGGACGCGACGAGAGTATCGTGGTTCTTTCGCTCTCAATGAGATTTCGGCGGTCGTTTGCATATAGAGGCAATTACTGGGTTATAGGCGTATATAGACAGTAACTTACCGCTTTATTTCCATAAGAAAAATATCTCGATTTTTGCTAGTTTGGGAAAACTGCATTTTAGTAGTAAAATTTGAAACTTTGAGACATAGTTATAGTGACTTTTCACGATGTTTCGTCCCCACGTATGCAATGAACAGCATTGAGTCGCGAAAATTGGTTTACAGCAAACGGTTTACAGCAATTATTGACGGGATACTTGTGTGTGCATAATTCATTTTGTACAAACAGATGGACACATTTTGCGAAGAGAACCCACACTCCTCACCCAACAAGCTGCAAACTATCCATCACTGTCTGCGCCCTGCCGATGGGCGAAGAAGACAGCCGAGAAGAAAGCGAATTCGAAGACGAGACCTTTGCCGTGGTTGCAATTGATCAACAAAGAAACAGTACATAATTCAGAAAAGTCTCAAATACGAGCAATGCACCTGAATATGAAATGTGCCCTAGCGACTAAAATATGCCTGTCACCGTGCGGTATGAAGCTGGGGTATATATGCCAAGAGAAGGGGAAATCTGTATTAAAGGTGAGAATGTATTGACAATGTGTCCAGTGGCATTGTCACGCCTGGTCTTAATAGCCACGGTGTCTGTAATATGCGTGGTGTCTCTGCGTGCATCCATTTCCTATACGCATGAAGTCTATTATATTAAACGGTTAGTGCCCTCGCTTGATGCCGATATCAACAGTTATCGTTCCCAAGTGGCTGTTATTGACCGAAACCGAAGACTTATTATAATATCTTGTAATAGCCCGAAGATTTCACAAAGATTTGCGAGAAATATTTATTCATTTATAGATTGACATTGATTATGTAAAATATGAGCAATTTTCCCACCTGAACTGGTTATTTTGCAACGTTTATTAGGATTGGAAAATGCTTTATTACTTTCAGCGATAACTTGATTTCTTGATAATTTGAAATTGTAAGTCCCTTTAGAATGACAAGAAACCGTACTTTGAACACTCATGTTAAAAAGGGAGCCCATTTGACGTCAATACATAACTAATAACCATCTTGATGACATATTTTGATGCGAATAGGTTTGTAATATTCGCATTGTCCAGAAACCACACACTTAGTACGATGACGAATACGTTTTACCTTTCAGTGTACAAGCACAAGCAGTGGTAACTCTTACTTCAGCTACTATAGCGTGGAAGGGGACACCATCAAATCGTTTTGTTTCTCAAAAGACGGTACACGTATAGCCATAGGAATGTCTAGTTCTGCGCTGAAAATACTGGACACCAAAAGGGGTAAGTAGACTTCAAGTACGTACACTGAGCCTGGCATCGAGCATTTATATAATCTAAGATGTGAAATATACTGAAATTATTTATAGCTTTATTGGGATATGGGAATTATTATGTGTAATATTTAATGCGTGTATATATATTCTGAAATTAATCATAGTTTTGTCGACATATAAGAATTATTATGTGTAATGTTTAATGCATGAACATATAAACTGAAATTATTTATAGCTTCGTTGAGATATGGGAAATATTATGTGTGATATTTAATGACGTGATGAAAATGTGTGAAATCGAAATGATCATTAATATTCGGATACCCGGAAAACTATTGACGAATTTAAGTTGATTTCTATTTCCCTCAATTCGCAAAAAATTAAATGGTGAATCATATGCGGCATATGGCTATACGTACTATCAAATCATGTATTTTGATTCATGTACTATTGAAAAATGAATGTTATATCAATACAGCTTTGTAAATTATCTCAGAGTGCGGTTTTAAATAATGATGCATATGGCTATATAATTATCAACACACAATGAGTACTGAATGGTTCAATGAAATGTGCGGAAATAAATCCCATATACAATTGATTGTTAAGATTTGGATACAATACGGCGGTGATCAAAGACTTGCAGCTTGTCAGGATTTTGCGAGTAAACTGTGTCAAATTACAATCCTAGTTATTGATTGTCACATAATTCTGTGTATATGTCGGTATTTTCTTTTTTCTTTTTTTTTTTTTGAATAGTAAATTGTCTCGGTAAGATATTAGTAAGTATGTGAACGAGGGCGTAATCATCTTTATACGTGCTCATGTATACCTCCACGACGAATGGAGTAATTCACCTTACTTCGCCGAGAAGAAAACAATAGAGCCTGTTTTAACTCAGGCTTTAATGATTTTCTAGTTTACCAATGAATGCTTCGATGATAATTTTGGGCAGAAAAGATTGGAACATACATTGGTAGTTAATAAAGTTAGTCATCGCTTATGATCTTTTTATAAGATAATATCTTTAAATAATCTTCGTAAATCGGTCAACGTATTTAGAATGAAGCGAAACACAATGGCGAACGGTAATATAACTTCCCTGCTAGACGGAAACAATTTAATTTTATAATTCAACGATCTGCGCCAAAATGTGATGACCATTCATGCGTTCTTTCCAACTATTGTATAAACTAAAGCAATGAGGAAACTACAATTATATTACAGTTCAAACTAGGTCTAAAAAATAATCAGTGGAGCATTTCGTTTAGATTAATTAGGTTGTGAAAACTAACTGAAGTAACTTGAAGGTGCGAATGAGCTGTGTGTAAATTATACTTACATTGACACAATTGTCCAAAAGGATTGGTTATTTGAATAATTACAATGGACTGTGACAACCTACTACCATTCTCAATATATCATATTCACTAGTGCTAGCAGTAATTACCTTTTTACCTTATACGTGGCGTTAGTACTGCGTATCAAACTGTTCTCGTCGTTGAATGTATCTGAGCCACGGATGTTTACACATATTCCGCAATGTACACTTTTCTTTGACTAGAACACAAGTCTTAATAAACCTTACGAAATTGTGTGAAATTGACTCATTATTGAGTTTAGTTACAAACAAACGATACACACTCATTTCTGGACGAACAACGAGTCCCTAGTCTATCGTGATGCGCTAAATGAATACTCCCATATATGATCGGTATACCAGTGGTGTGCCGGGGTCTGATTCATGATGTTATCGATATTCGGAAGATGATTTCAGTGATTGTAAGAAGACTAGCTACAATAACATAATTGTCAATATGGCGGATTTAATGACGTAGTTGGACATCATATATATTATACAAATACTTAATTTTTGGATATTTTAACGTATTTCAAAAAGTAATCATCTATCATTAATCGCATTTCAGGAAGAACCGTGAAAGAACTGAAGGATGATTCCACAGTAGTACAGGGCGCGTGCATTGATCACGTGGTGTTCAGCGGCGATGATCGATTGGTTATTGCTGCATATAACAGTCAGAAACGTACAGGTTGCAGGGCCCTATGTATTTGGGACATGAATTCAGATAGGTAATATACACTGCTGTCTGTGATTCTCTATTAATCCATTTATATTGGTAATTGTATCATGAGTGTAATCAAATTTTAAATGGGACTCCGTGTCGGTGAGAAGATTGCTATGAAAGGATTGTATAGAATTGTGTCTGCGTGATGTTTTCGATTTTCGTTTTTCACAACTAACCCTTGTAAGCTAACTATACTTACTCAATTTGCATTACGGGGTTGCTTCTGATTAAATAAGTCGGAAACTAGCTGACTAACATTACTGTTACGGATAACTTGATGAATCGGCGTTTCTCCTTTATTGACTTTTTGTTGTTTCTTGAATAGCATCGCACTCAGTAAAGCTCACACGTGATAATAAGCCGATGTGTCGTAGTGTTTAATACTGACATCAGAGGAAGTTGTATGTCATATTGACATATTTAGGTTTTATTTAAAATGGACTCGTTTTATATGCAAGTTGTAGGACGCTGTCAAGCACGTAATCAACGTTGAGGTAGTTTCCAGACATGCAAGTCAACTCAATTTGTCGCAATATATTTGACGTCCACAAACGCCAGTTCTCGTTATATGTGGTTTGTAGGCATCTGACGCAGTATTCGCACTATGGATCTCGAATTGGTCTGATGCAATATGATGTACCTCGGTTATAATTGCCATGGCAACATTAATGGATACCGTAGTATCATCCTCGTGGTTCGCGTTCGCGTAGATCAGATATTCCCATTCCCATATCCCAATAAAGCTATAAATAATTTCAGTATATTTCACATCTTAGATTATATATCAGGTAGATTTTTGACGGCGGCAGGACAGAAGTAGAAAGAAATATTTTACAGACTGTCTGTGTACGGGCTAACCCGAGAGTAATATGATGAAATTGTTTGCACGTATCTGTTGATCGACTTATTTAGTTGATTACTAGCGAATGGTTGAATCGTTTAGGCCCATGTGAGGTTCTGGACGGAACTTGGTTCAGTGATTTGGAACTAATTACGATATTACCGTCGCTATTCGGACTACTATTTTTGATGACAGTTGGTATTCGCAGTTGCTGCTAATATAGTGAACGATTAATCAAAAGATATGACGTGTTCAGTACTTAGTGTGATTGGCTGTATGTGTGAAGATTACGCCCTAGAGTCTTTTTACTGCTTTGTAATTGGTTAAGGTTTTGAAAGTGAATAAAGTTGTTTTAGTTGGTCTTGGCGAGTACACCACGACAGACGCAGTTTTGGGAGAGTCTTGGGTCAACCTTGCGATAGTCGTGGGGACTTTTCCTCAGGGCGCTGTGTCTTATAGAGTGCTCGACTGACCGACTAAAGACGAGAGTGAAACGTATTTCGTTGCGTGTGTCCTATTTGACTGTAAAGTTTAAGTGACTTTCCCGATCCCGTACCTCAAGGGGACGCGATAGAGAGACAAGACGAGATTTACCCCTGGCACGTGTGGAGAACCCAGAAGAGAGAATTCCCCCGTGATAGTAACAACACTCTGGTCATTGTCACTTCCACCAAACGACAGGATGTCTAAATCTACAATTTACTTGTACAAATTTAAGTACGTTATCTATCCCTATCACAGTTATGTGGCTAGAGGCTTGCTTCTCCGCTATCATTACAGATATGTCCTTCTAAAGACACGTGTGTGATCTCTGAATTAGGGCATAAAGACACATTTACCTAAGCACAGGATTGTGACTGAGCTTTTAACCTACTGTGGTAGATGTTACAATTTATTTTGGTGCGAGTGAGTGATTGAGTGAATTAGTGAGTGGGTCCGTGGGCGAGTGTTAAATATTTTATTATTCACTTGCCATGACGAAATCGAAATGCCAAAATAGACAAAGGCCTCTCTCTTTTCTCGAATTCTTTTTTAAATGATATAATATTTTTAATGTTATAGTTTTATTTATGTTTTATTGTAGAGGGAACCATCTGTACAGCAACGAAGCTGAAGAAGGGTGTTATCCACATTATGGCAACATTACCTTCCTAGCAACAAGCCCGGATTCGGATCTCCTTGCCTCCGTTTGTGACCATGGCGTCTTACGTATTTGGGATTTGCGAAACGGCGAGTGTCTTTGTGGTGTCAACTGTGACAGCATGGAGGAACAAACCAACAATGCCCGTCATTCGAAATGTTTCAACAGTCTGTCCTTCAACAGCAAATCGGATTGTTTAGCTGTTACATTTACCAGGGGAATCGTGAAAATCTATGACACGACTAGATCTCGAAATTGTCTTCCAGTTCTGGTAACTCTCCATCATAGTGCCAAGTCCAAACTCGTGGCGGCGCACTACCATCATAAGTTACCCGCTATTCTGTTTTCCTGTTGTGATAAAGGTGTTGTCAAAATGTGGAACGTGAACAGTGTGGAATTGTTAGCAACAACTTCAATCCCAGCTGGTGGATCAGTCAAAGGCTTTGTTTCCAGTTCACATGGACCGTTCGTGTGTGTCCTTGCAGATCGAGGAATGGCTCACCTCTGGAATGCCGCTGTCGAGGAAACGTCACCTGTGACGTCAGATCCGGTCACACACGTAACATTCAGGTAATTAAAGGGGTTGCTTGGATGCAAAAGTCAAGTTGGTGATGATAAAGAATTCCATTCAATATGTATTATATCACTAGTTATCCAGATGTTTTTCGAAGTGCTTCCTGACGGTGACAATAATGCAAATTATGATACTGTGACGTATGGACTTTCAATGGTTCAACTAAGTTACAAATATCAATATTTATTGGAAGAGTGGCAAACCGGCTAGTGGCTAGAATATTAAATTGCCGACATCCTGAGTACAAAGATTATCGTATTAGGGCCTAGTGGATTAGTGTTGAAATACAATTAAGACGCATTAGCTACTTCAGGTTACGAGATCTCGGCACTTGCCGAAATTGTCAATCCCTCAACTTCACGTTCACGTTGCGTCGTCGACTATCAACGTACCGCTCTGCATTCAGTTTCATTCAGTACCACAGCATCCAGCCATATCTAGCTGTACGTTCCTCCATCGCCATGTCATACCAGTATGAATCAATATATGTTCTCTTAAATTCACGACCGGGGATGATTTCGGTACGCGCCGGGCGTTCAGGACGTGCCGAGTTTCGGTTCACAAGACTTAACGATTTGTTTAAAACACGAAATGGCGGTTCTCAAGTGAACATTAAATTGAGTTTGTTGACTACATTGTTTCATAACCTCGTTAGTTACACGCGGGATGAGAACTGGTGTAATATAAAAATAATACTTCTGGTGGTATTTCTAGTCCGCTTCGAACAATTTTGCATACATCTTCTCAGAAGAATGGTTTTTCACGTATAAGAGCCGTTGGTGGTACCCTTATTAACGAATTTCATGATTTAAACAACGCTTTTTAGCGATTTCATTCGACAATGCTGCAATTCAGACACGAGCTCATAAAAGTAATCTCATCTACTAGTGACACTTATACAGCTCTCCAATAGAAATGCCCTCACATGGAGAGAGTTAATTACACCACTCAATGTGGAAATGTAATAAAATCGTATTAAACGATATTGAACACCGTTGTCGATTCCAAGTGCTATCCCATTGCCATGGCAACTGAACGAAAGCTACAGTTGTATAACTCAATCAGCTCGATAAATCGGATACTCATTTGCATGAAATTACAGGGAAGGTTGTAATATTTGTGGAATTAATTCGTTTCCTCGAATTATCTCGATTACATGTACTCAATGCTAATCATACCCGGATGTAACAGTATGAAACATAGTTGTATTTGGGGTAGTTTATGATATATGGTTAATATCTGATTCAGTAAGTCAATCGAGTTCATTTAATAATAATAATTACAAAATGTTTTTTTGTAAGTGTAAAAACTGCATTTTCTTGCGGATGGTCTTG